CACCCGGCGTCTCTAAGCATTTTATCAGGACATCCCTTGCTCACAAACCTACAGTAGCTCCCTATTGTCTAGAAAATTAAAATCCAAAGTCTTTAGCCTGAATTCAAAGACCTTTCCATTATTATGGAATGACCTTTATTTCCCATTATTCCTTTCATAACCGTTAAAACCCCCAGAAATCACAAATAACCAGCTTTCTTACCTTTGCTCCCAAAACTTTTTTCTTTTTCTGAGACAGAGTCTCACTCTGTTGCCCTGGCTAGAGTGCTGTGGGGTCAGCCTAGCTCATAGCAACCTCAAACTCCTGGGCTCAAGCAATCCTTCTGCCTCAGCCTCCCGAGTAGCTGGGACTACAGGCATGGGCCACCATGCCCGGTGAACTTTTTCTATATGTATTTTTAGTTTGCCAATTAATTTCTTTCTATTTTTTTTAGTAGAGACGGGGTCTCACTCTTGCTCAGGCTGGTTTCAAACTCCTGACCTTGAGCGATCCTCCTGGCTCAACCTGCCAGAGTGCTAGGATTACAGGCATGAGCCACCACGCCTGGCCCTGGCTAATTTTTTCTATACATATTTTTTGTTGTCCAGCTAATATCTATTTTTTTAGTAGAGATGGGGTCTCACTCTTGCTCAGGCTAGTCTCAAACTCCTGAGCTCAAACAATCCAACCGCTTCGGCCTCCCAGAGTGCTAGGATTACAGCCATGAGCCACTGCGCCCAGCTTGCTCCCAAAACTTGAAACATTTTCTGTCTATGGTGCTATGACACCTATTTCTTTCCCCCATTCACACTCCACTGACTAAGGTTGAGCTCGAAGACCACCTCTTCCTTGAAGCCTTCCCTCACTGCTATGGCCCCCTACAATCATTTCCCCTCTCAACTTCTAGAGCAAAGTTCTATAAATGAGTCAGATAGCATATAGTTTAGGCTTTGTGGGCCATATAGCCTCTGTCACAACTAGTCAAGTCTGCCAAAGCAGACACAGACAACACAAAAACAAATAGGTGTGGTTGTTTCAATAAAACTTAATTTATAAAAACAGGCAAGGGAGATCTGCAGGTGGGCTATAGCTTACTGACCTCTGGCCAGGAGCAATGTTTGGCCCTTAATCAGAGAAGGGCTCATATCCTTTAAGTAGAATTTTCTCTTCTAAGCTCCCTGAAAGAACAGTGTGCTGCATGTTTGTGGCACTACAATATATGCACAACTAATTGAGCATAAATTAGATGTTCAATTTCAAAAGTACTGAATAAACAATACTTGGGAAACACTCATATAGAATATTAAAAAAATACTCCTAATGCTGATTATGGTCTCCTCACAGAATTCCAAAAACCCAAAAGTAGGGAAAAGCCACACCAAATGTGGAATCAAGAAAAATTCCACCCAACAGAGCATAATAGTGGTCACTAAGCTCTTAATAGCTCTTTTGGCCACACAAACTGTATCAATGACTGGTATGAGTTTCACAGCAAGATTATGAAAGGAGTAGGATGCTATTTCCTGTAAACAAAATTCGCAGAAGTATGATCAAATATTTGCCACAATCACATTTCAGGGGATCACACAAGATGGTGGGCACAGCTGATCAACACAAGTTTTAGGGAAAAAAACCCTGCAAAATGTGAATCACAGGGGTCTGCAATATCAAGCTTGGCAGAAGTGGCAGTGGATTAGGCTCAGGTGTGGAGGAATGTCACCACCATAGATAGAAAGAATGTGGCCAAAGGACTGAAGTCAGGGTCAGACTCAATCTCTGGGCACAGAGAAGGCCTGCCAGATAAGTCGGGGGCAAGTCTAAGAAGTAGATGAAAGACACAGAAATGCAGGCACAGGAGACAAAACACAGATAACAGGAGAAGGGACCAGAGACACTCCAGACAATCCAGTCTATCTCTACAAGGGAGTCTCTTGGCCTCAGCACTGTATGCGACAGGCTGCACACCTGAACACCTGAGTCTGCTCTTCTGAACAATGCCTTGTGGCATCTTTAGGGGACACCCACAAAGCTAACTGTGAGAGAAAACACTTAAGATCCATGACACAGGATAAGTCAGTGAACAGGCACAGCAGAGGGGTTTTGCTAGGTATCTCATTATAAGAACATATTTCATGGACATTTTTTTTCAGTAGCATCAAAGAACCAAGCAGAAGCCTAACAAGAAGTTGCATTTGCTGTACTAACTGTTATTAAATTAAATTGCTCAAGGACATGCTGATTCTCCATGTGGTATGCAGCTTCTAATCCACAGCTTTCCATCCTAGCACACATCCAGGAGAAAAGGCTAGCATGGACATTTCAAAATCTATCTTTATTTTAAGACTTGCTCACCGAAGCTGTTTCTGTTACTTTTTTTTTTTTTTTTGAGTCAGAGTCTCACTTTGTTGCCCAGGCTGGAGTGCAGTGGTACAGAGGCATGATCATAGCTAACTACAGCCTTGAACTCCTGGGTTCAATTGATCCTCCCACCTCAGCCTCCTGAGGGGAGTCACTGGCAGTGGAGTAGGAATAGGGTGTGCCACCACGCCCTCATTACTGCTTCTAAACATTAAACATTCTCACCTTAAATGTCACAAATCTCAAAAAAGACTCTTCTTAAGATGGAAGGGATTTCCCTAGTCTTTGTGTCACATGGTAAAAAGGAGATGAGATATAGTTTTCTAGGATAAATCTAAGGGAAGAGATGATTAGATCTGAGGAGAATCAATCATCTCTTTGAGAAACATAAGGAATTTTCCCACTTTGTTTTAAAGCAGGTTAAGTCTTACTTCTTCCAACAGGTTAGCAATGCAAAATGTTACAGTTCTGGTAATTCCATATTCAGTTACAGTTCATTTTAATAAACTATCTATTCTATTACAAGGATAACACTGTGAAGTATAACAACAGTGGCTTTGGCAGTTTAATTCAGAAAGCATTACCCAGGAACTGTTTTAAATCTCATTTCTGCCAACAACAAGCCTACCTAATCCCATGGCAAAATAAGTACTAAGCTTTTTTTCTCTAAAAATATTTCTTATAACAGTTCTATATAATAATTGATCTAAGTACATGAGATTTGTTCCTCTTTTACCTTTATAAAGATTTGTTTCTCCAAATACAACCTCAGCTTGCTTGTGTAAAAAAATGAGAGCCACAGACTTCAAGTTCATGTAAAACTAAGTCGGCAGTGCTACAGGACAACTAAAGAACCAATGACCTAGCATATATACCCCACCAGCACCAACCCTAACTCTGGCAGCACCAAACCTAACCTTAAACCTAGCAGCACCAAATCTGGCTGCAGTGACAATTCCTAACTTTTAAAAACACAATGTGCCAGGAACAAAGTGTTTTACAAGTCAATTCACAGAGTCCTCACAACAACCCTATGAGGCCAATATTATTAGTGTTCCCATTTTACAGATGAACCAAAGGCACAGAGACCTTGCCTAAGACCACAAAGCCAGTAAACAGAAGAGTCACGACTCAAAGGCAGGCAGTCTGGCTCCAGAACCCACCCTCTTTTCCAGTTTTCCACTCTGCTCAGTGACTCTCGGCAAGACAGCTGGCTAAACAAAGTGCAGGGAGGGAGACACTGCCTCTAGTCATTCACTTGCCAGCACTGAGGGTCACCGAGTCTGTGCCCAGGACGGTCTATGGACGGAGTCTCCTCGCTTTACACCTCCTATCAAATCTCCTTCCCCTCCCCCAGGGGCAGAGAGAAACACACCTTGCTCATTATGAAAGGGGAGCCGCTGAGGGAACCACCTGCTATTTACAGACTGCACCCAGGACACAGCTTTCAGTTCCCCTTACTGGCTTCAAAAGACAAATCTCCATATTGTCTGTACCATGGGAAGCACGCAAAGCCTTGCAACTGTAGGTTTTTCAGCAGAGGTCACTGGAGGTTTGGTTAAACCCGTAGAACACTGCAGGGGGAGGGGGCCTAGCTACATTTTTGAAGGCTGCGCAGCGCCCACAGCAGCTGCTGGTGGGAAGCAGCATGGAACACACCCACAGCTGCCGCGGCCTCCGAGCAGGCTGCACGTTTTAAAAGAAAAGACGTCCAGAGCCCTAAGATGCACAGCCTGCCTCGCTCGCGGCCCTCAGCACGGAAAACTGCCTCCACCCACACCTATCCTGCACCCAGGAAGCAAATGACGGGATCCCAGCTCCAGGAGGCGAACGGGAAAGGAAGACGCTGAGCCCCCGAGCCTCTGGCGCGACCAGCCTGTGCCTGCGGCACAGAAGAAGCCACTGAGCCCACTGGCGACCGCACCGACCCGCAGGCAGCCACGACCTGACTTGGAGACGCCCATCGCCACTCCCTGGGGACAAAGCCCGGGGCCGCAGGGCAGTGGACGTCCGGCCCGCACTACCCTCCTGCAACCCGGCCGCCCTTCAGGACTCAGAGCACGAACCCCCGGCCCAGAGGACACCCACCTCCTCCCCATGCCAACTGCGCCCTGGAATCGGGCCAGCGCCCGAGAGTTCAGCTGGGCACACTTGCACTCACACCCACCCCCGGGTCGGGCACACTTGCACTCACACCCACCCTTGGTCTGGGCATAGTCACACTCACGCTTACCCCCAGGCCGAGCACACTCGCACTCACACCCACCCTCGGGCTGGGCACACTCGAAATCACATTCAGGCTGGGCACACACGCCCACCCTTGCGCTGGGCACACTCACACCCACCCTTGGGGTAGGGTACCCTCGCGAGCACTCACACCCACTCACACCCTCAGCCTGGCCCCTCGGCGCGCACCCAGCCCTCACGCGGCCTTGGCCCCCAGCGCACTGCGACCCCAGCCCAGCCGGCCCTGCACACCAACGCCCCACCCCCTCCGCGGCGCGGCGTCGGCCCTTCCCGCCGCTTCGGTCACCGCGGGCCCGGATTCCTCGTGCAGCTGGGCCGGGGGCCTCCGGCGAGGCCGGGCCAGGGCCGCGGGGGCCGCAGCGCCGGCCTCTCCGCCATCTTCCCAGCCCGCGCCGCCCACCGCCCGCGCTCTCACCGGCCAGCTGTGCGCAGGCCGCACGGCCACAGTCCCTCATCATGGCCCGCGTGCTGCGCGTGAGCCGCGGTAGCTCTCTCGCCGCCGCCGCCGCCTCAGCCGCAGCCGCCGCCGCCGCGAGCCTAGTGCGAGGCGGCCGCGCGTCCTCCCGTCACCAAGCGCAACCCCCCGCCTCCGGCTCCGCCCCCGCGCCGGCCCCGCCCGCCGCCAGAGGGCGCCGCCCTGCGTGGCGACGGTACGCGTGCGCCGGCGCGTGGCATGCCGGGAGCCGCAGTCCTGCAGAGACTGCGCGCGGCCTGCTGGTAGCTGGTAGCGATCCACCTGTGCTCCCCGCTCCTGGCCAGACGCGCAGGAGGTGTTCAAGTTTCCTTTGGCGCGGCGCAGTTAGCGTCTGGTACGGCTCAGTGTGGATTTGGTGTAATTTTACCTACTCAAACCATGTTGGGCTTCCTGAATCTGACGTTTTACTTTTCTTCAACTGGAGATTTAACCATCATCTCTTAAAATATTGGTCTCCTCTATTCATGTAGTCTCTCCTGTAATAGACTCGTATCCTCCATGTATCTTAACTTCTTATTATTTTCATCTTTTTATCTCTTTCATTTTTACTCTTGGTAATTTACTCAGCTGCATCTTGACCAGTGCTCCCTTCAGCATTTTCTGATGTGCGTTCAGCCTGGTCATCAGATTAGTGCTATATTCATTTCTAGAAGTTGTATTTGACTTGCATTTCTAGAGAAATAGAGACTAAACAGCCTGAAACTCTCCCACAACACACCATTCAATCCGTGGCCATACCCTCGGTTCTGTCATCACGAGAAACTGCAAAGGGCTGAATGTGCAATTTGTAGGCCTCAGCTGGGCTCCTATTCCTACCCTGCAGCTCACTCTTAGTACTCCAGAGCACTCGCTCCTGTAATGCCCCCACCTCCTTGAGACTCCCATCTAGACTATCTCTCCACTTGGCACTTTTCTGGTCCATCCCCACACTTCGCTGTTGTACACAAGAACAAGTGGTCTCTACTTTCTTGTCTCCAGCTTCCTCTCCATTGTATTCACCTGAGAACACCCAATCTGGATGAATCCAATCATTCTCCTTGTCCATGACTGCTGCAGAAATGTCACATAACCAGGCTGACTAGCTTCACTTTAAACTCTTGACCACAAACGTAAAATGAGCACTTTACACTCCCAAGCAATCTTGTACTTTTCTCCAGAAGGGTGTCTCCCATTCTCCAAAGTGAGCTCAGGTAACTTCTCAGCCAGTGCTAGGTAAGCCTGCCAGGTGAGATCAAAACGCTTATCACCAAACTGACAGACCTACCCACATCCAGCTTCTGCCTTTCACCTTCCCTCCAGAAGTATGCAGGCAGTGTTTCCCTGCAGCTCTTGAAGGCAGTCTCTCCTGGTGAATTGGAACCCATTCCTGTCTCCTGCATCATCAATTTGTCCATCTCTATTTAATAATTTCTGGGAGCATACAAACACACTCCAGCATGCTTTGTTATAAAAAGATAAGACCTCCTTTAATCTCTGATTCCCTTGGTGTGGTGGCTATCTCAAAAAACTTGCCTGCACTGCAGCTGGGCAATGGTACATACCTGTAGTTCCAGCTACTCAGGAGACTGAAGCAGGAGGATCAATTGAGCCACTGCACTATGATTGTGCCACTGTACTCCAGTCTGGGTCACAGAGCAAGACCCCATATCAAAAAGAAAAACATAAAACTTGCCTGTATCTTGTATCTTAACATTACTTTGTTTTTATTTCTCATCCTCTCTTTGTCCACAAATTCCATGGAAAACATTCTGCTTTAGGTCACTTGTACTGAGTCCAGTGCATTCTTTCTTGTCATCTATGTGCCCTGTCAGGAACATCCAATTCCTTGAGTTGGAGTTGCCTTTGTGGATGGACACACTGGATGTGCAGGTCCCAGGCTCTGAGAGGATGATTTTGTGTGTCATCTGCATGTAACGCAAATGGGATGTCAGAGTTTGGGAAGAGGATCACTGGTGTTACATGTCCATGCAGTCTACAAAGGTGCCAAACATATATATTCAGGGGTTCCTAGCAAGTAGCCAAAGACCACCCTTTGCCCCTCATTGTTCTATATAAACTAAGGATTCACTGAGAAGGTGGGTGAAGATTTCCTTGGAAAAGGTATACACCTAGTAGTGGAGAATGCTTTTCATTTCCATTCTCCTTTCCCAGCCCCTGTCAAACATAGGTTGAAAGTGTTTATATAATGGAAAATTGTAGTATGGAAAAGATACATTAGGATGATATTACCCAAAATAAAACCAAGATAGCAATTTTAATATCAGAAAAAATAGAATTCAAGTACAAAAGGACAAAAAGGGAAATTATATTGGGTTATGTGAAAGACATATAATTAACAATATATATTAATATATTCATTATCAATATACCTCAATATATATATAACAGATTTAAGGGCAGATACACAAATCAACAATTAATGATAGAGAATTTAACATATCTCTGATAAATCAGAAACATGGCCAAAATATAGAATACTTGAATAACATGGTTAGCAAACTTGAACTAATAGGTACAGAGATAACTTTATAACTATGAAGCTGAAAATACACATAGGGAGCATTCACATGAATTAGCCATGATACTATGGAAGACTCAATAAATTCCAGAGAATAAAAAACATCCAGTCTATAAACACTAGTCAAAATAGAATAAGCGTTGAAACCAATTACAATAAAAAACATCCTGGCCGGGCGTGGTGGCTCACGCCTATAATCCTAGCCACTTTGGGAGGGCCCGAGGCGGGCGGATTGCTACAAGGTCAGGAGTTCGAAACCAGCCTGAGCGAGACCCCGTCTCTACCAAAAATAGAAATAAATTAATTGACCACCTAAAATATAATATACAAAAAATTAGCCGCGGCAGGGTGGCGCATGGGCCTGTAGTTCCAGCTACTCGGGAGGCCGAGGCTAGAGATCGCTTGGAGCCCGGAGATTGAGGTTGCTGTGACGCCAGGCATGACGCCACGGCCCACCACTCGACAGGCCTGGGACAACAAAGTGAGCCTCGCTGTCTCAAAACAAAAAAAAAAAAAAAAAACCATCCTATATGTCATGAAACCAACTCTCCCCATAAAACACTAATAACCCTTTCAACGTTGAGAGAGGAAATTAATAAAAAATCTTTAAATAATTAGAACCAAAGAATAATTTTTTAAAAAACCAAAATTTCTAGGACAAAGTTAAAGCAATAGTTGAGGAAATCTTAAATAAGGTTTGCAGGATATAGAAACAATTGGAAAAATTTACCTAAGTGTTCAACTCCAAAATCAGAAAAGGAGAAACAGGGCAATCCCAAATAAATAAGAAAGAATGAAATAATAAAGCTTAGGATAAAAATCAGTAAAATAAAGAACAACAAGAGATAGAATATTAGCCAAACAAAAGCTGATTTTTTCAAAAAGTTAGAAAGGCAGACTAATGAGAGTATTGTCTTGTTGAATCTAGTGGTCAATTCTCAGTTTTCATAGCCTCACTTTATTTGTTTAATTTCCTTTTCTGGTTCTTCATCTTCCCAATTTCTCGATGTTAAATGGTGCCGGGGCTCAGCACTTGGAACTTGTTTCTTTTCTAACTACATTCACTCCTTTGGTGACCTCATGTGTATATGTAGATGTATATATGCATATATGTCACTAGAAGGTAGAGATCTAGTATATGTGTATATGTAGGCCACCGTAAGCCAACCCAGACATATGGAGCTACTAATACCATCATTAAAACAATACCGGGGAGGGAGAAGAAATGTGTATTGTGAAATTCTTTGAAATAATTGTTTCCCAATGAAAGTAGCTTTTTTTCTGATTCTAATCACTCAATAAATACTTACTGATCACACACTGGCTTAGGCACCAGAGGTACAGCAGTATACTGAAAAACAAAGTCCTTGCCCTTCAGGGGTTTACATATAGGGTGTGTTGGTCGTGGGGCAGACAATAAATAAATAAGCCCATGACTGGTCTGATGGTAGTGGATTATCAGAACCTATTAACATTAGTATCAGTAAAGTTGGTGTTCAACTCCACACTGCTAACTTTGACTGGCTTTTGAAAAAAAGAAAAAAAAAAGTTAAGTAAATAAATAAATAAGTCCATAATCCAGTCATATTAGGTGGAGCCAAGTAAAGCAGAGGAGGAAGGGAAGGCAGGGAGAGCCACTGAGAGATTATTTGTAGACTGAAAGGAGGTGCTGGGCAAGCATTTAGGAGGAGAAAGGCGTGCAAAGGCCCTGAGGTAGGAACTTGCCTAGAGGCCACTATGGCTAGAACAGAGTGAGTAGGAAGGAAAAGAGCAGCCTCCATGGTCAGAGAGGAGAGAGGGAACGGATGGTGAGGGTCTTGTGGACCATGGCATTTACTCTGAGTAAGTAGAGGGGTGCATTGACTAGACTCGAGTTTTAAAGGAAACATTCTTGTCATCGTGTGGAATAGACTGCATAGGATAGGAGGGGGTGGGGGCAGGAGCAAGGGCCAAAGTAAGAGGCCAGTCAGGAGGCCACTGCAACAATTCTGGTGTGAGCCATGGTGATGGAAGCAGTGTGGGTGGCAGGGAGTAGGGGACTGTGGTTGCTGAGAGGGTGGAGGTGAGGTGTGAAAAAATACTGGTGATGACCTTTCACGTTTCCATTTTCCCCTGCTACAGTGTACATCCCTGTACACCTGTCCATATACACTGGGGCTTTTGTTCCTCTGGATGCCGCAGATTAGAATTGCTGGGCCCAAGGACATGTGCATTTATAAATTTCATAGATACTCCAAGATTGCTTCATGATGCCTGTGAAAATTCACCCTGCCACATGCAGTAGTACACATCAATGCACTTGCCCCTGCTGGATTAGTCAGCTTCCTCTGAGTTGTGTGGTAATAACAAACAACTCGCAAATCTCTGTGGTTTTTGATATCAGAGGTCTATTTCTTACTCATGTATGTACCAGCTCCTGTAAGAGCTTCATCCTGGCATCAGTGATAAAAAAGAGCACCTGTCTGGGACAGGCTGTTCTCAAGGCAGAGGAATAAAAACAATGTTGGAATCTCACGATGACATTCAAGGTTCCTTCAGGGAGGTAGCAGGTTTCACCTCTTGCTCACGTTTCATTGGCCAA